AAACATGAGACGGTTTTTTATTGTGTTCTGTGAATCTGGTTTACAATTTTCTTTCTGTTTCTCGGATGTAGAGTTCTAGGCAGTTATTGCATGTTATTTTGTAAATGACGTTGATATTGTGTGATTCTAAATAATTTTTGTTTAGTAATGATTTTAATTTAGAGCCGGTTTTTTGAGAGAATGCCTTTCTTCTGTTTTGCTACAGCTGTTCCAGTGCTGAAAACAGCAATTCAAATGAAACACTCACTTCTAGCGATAATACGAAACTCACTGGTTTTAAAAGCATTCGATACTATCTAAATACATAACTTACTTTGAACTGATACTTACTCGGCTTTTGCGACGTAGGTAAAGATTAGTTTCTTATTTTCATTTACTTCTAGCCGCCATAACCCAGACTGCAAACTTACAAATCCTGATTTGGTTTTGAAGAGTTCATACCAATCACCCAAAAACTAGTGGTGAAATAAACATATTAAAATCATAAAGTTCGAAGTTAAGACAAAATGATTTAAAACACTAACATTACTAGCGTACAGAAAAGAATTAAGAGAACGTTTTACTTTAAAACCATAAAAAAGTAACTATAAATCAGAAATTCTCTAGTTAACTTATGATCCATTAAAGATATTCTGTAGCAGTTAATGAACATTTAGGATCGAGATTCTGTAGCAGTTAATGAACATTTAGGGTCAAGATTATGTAGCAGTTAATGAACATTTAGGGCCGATATTTTGTAGCAGTTAATGAACATTTAAAGCCGAGATTATGTAGCAGTTAATGAACATTTAGTGTTGAGATTCTGTAGCAGTTAATGAACATTTAGTGTCGAGATTCTGTAGCAGTTAATGAACATTTAGGGTCGAGATTCTGTAGTAGTTAATGAACATTTAGGATCGAGATTCTGTAGCAGTTAATGAACATTTAGTGTCGAGATTATGCAGCAGTTAATGAACATTTAGGGTCGAGATTATGTAGCAGTTAATGAACATTTAGGGTCGAGATTATGTAGCAGTTAATGAACATTTAGTGTCGAGATTCTGTAGCAGTTAATGAACATTTAGTGTCGAGATTCTGTAGCAGTTAATGAACATTTAGGATCGAGATTATGTAGCAGTTAATGAACATTTAGTGTCGAGATTATGTAGCAGTTAATGAACATTTAGGGTCGAGATTATGTAGCAGTTAATGAACATTTAGTGTCGAGATTATGTAGCAGTTAATGAACATTTAGGGTCAAGATTATGTAGCAGTTAATGAACATTTAAAGCCGAGATTATGTAGCAGTTAATGAACATTTAGTGTCGAGATTATGTAGCAGTTAATGAACATTTAGTGTCGAGATTCTGTAGCAGTTAATGAACACTTAGGGTCGAGATACTGTAGTAGTTAATGAACATTTAAGGTCTAATATTCCAAAGATATTTTGTGGCTTATAGCTTTATATATCTTCGAAATTTTAAATGTTAAACATAAATAACTAAAATAGAAACCAAAATATATAAGTAATAGTCTTCAAAAGATATAATAGTTTACTTGTTCCATGTTGAACTCTGCCAAAGTTGTTCTCTCAGAAATTCTGCAACCCGATTGTTGAACAAGCGTGTGATCTAAAAATAATAATATAAATCAGTTCTGGTATAGATATCTCTATGACTATTTAAACAGTTGATATATCTCTAGGACTATTTTAAAATTCTCCTTAAAAAAAAAGAAAAGAAAAACGAGACCAAAGTGGGTCATATCTATAATCACACATCTTCTACAAGTAACTTGTTCATATCTATAATCACACATCTTCTACAAGTAACTTGTCCATATCTATAATCACACATCTTCTACAAGTAACTTGTCCATATCTATAATCACACATCTTCTACAAGTAACTTGTCCATATCTATAATCACACATCTTCTACAAGTAACTTGTCCATACTATAATCACACATCTTTTACAAGTAACTTGTCCATATCTATGATCACACACCTTCTACAAGTAACTTGTTCATATCTATAATCACACATCTTCTACAAGTAACTTGTCCATATCTATAATCACACATCTTCTACAAGTAACTTGTTCATATGTATAATCACACATCTTCTACAAGTAACTTGTCCATAACTATAATCACACATTTCTACAAGTAACTTGTCCATAACTATAATCAGACATTTTCTACAAGTAACTTGTTCATATGTATAATCACACATCTTCTACAAGTAACTTGTCCATAACTATAATCACACATCTTCTACAAGTAACTTGTCCATAACTATAATCAGACATTTCTACAAGTAACTTGTCCATATCTATAATCA